TTAATTTCATAGAATAAGTCCATATTAGTTGTAATTAGATAGAATTTCTACTAGTTATTTTCATGTTCTCAATCTGAAATTAAGTAGATCATGGTCATAGATGAATATGTTGGTTTAAATGTTGGATTCAAGTTTGAGCCTCATCATGTTGATTCATAAGTGAAGAAGCTACTGTCCAGTCCCACTAGGATTCTGAAATTGACGATAAATCTCCAGTTTTATTTTCTAAAAATCGAATTGTTGCTGCATATTCCTGGACGGTTTTGAATGTCAAATAACGTAGTATAGATGTTAATCCCAACGATGTGAAACGACTGTGGCCTGGTGATCATTTAAATTCAATTCCGTTCGTAATTAGTATTGTGGCATGTTTCAACTTGAGCCATATTTCTGGGCTCACCTTGGCCCAGTGGCGTGAAACCCTGCTAGAATAGCACAAGACCCATTGCTGATCATTTAGTTGCTAAGAACTGAAAGCTGGCATATGTTTGGGCCCTGAAGCTCAAGCTTCTTGTGAATCGGACTGGGGCCCAACAGACTCAAACCCATTGGGTTGCTGAATCATATACCTAAGGTTTGGGCCTTTTGAGTGCTTCTAATGATAATTGATTGGTTAGCTAATAAATTATGGCCTTTAGAGACAAATAAGAATAAAAATCATAGTCTCTTTTAGTTTGGCCTTTTCATATAATGATGAGACGAGCCTCGCCAAATAAAATACGAAATGTGGGGCCCTCAATTAACGCTATGAATTCGGGAGGGCCGTTTAGCGAATTTCACGGCCTTCCCCAAAATAATAATACACTAGACTCTTTAAGCACGACTTTAATAAAATTACATTCCTAAACTCGGGTGCGCATTGATGCGACCCAAATCCAAATCTCAACGGAGTCGAAATGTGTTGACAACCATGGGTGCATTGATTGCGACGTGGTTCGAGACGCATTTCCACAACGTTGCAATTCTTTTGAAATATAATGATAAAGGCGGTTTACGAATAAGCGGCACATAGGCTAGCAAGAACTAAAATCAGATAAAATCAAATACAATAGTTGAGCGACCGTGCTAGAACCACGGAACCCGGGAATGCCTAACACCTTCTCTCGGGTTAACAAAATTCCTTACTCGGATTTCTGGTTTGCGGACTGTTAATAGAGTCATAAATTTCCTCGGTTTGGGATTCATCCGGTGACTTAGAACACCATTAATATCCCAAGTGGCGACTCTGAATAATTAATAATTAAATTCTGTTCCGATTGTCTTTTAATTGGAAAAACTCCTTTATGCCCTTGCAGGGTGTAGGTGAAAAAGGAGGTGTGACACAATCCATACCGAAATTCACGCCATGATCTTCGGTCCATTGCAGGTATCTCGCTCTTTCCGTTACTGAGCTATACCGGTATCATTTCGAAGTATACTTTTTTCTGACCTCGGTAAGTGATATCGGCCTCGATCTTGGAATGGAACATCGACCCCGAACTCAACATCTTGGCCTTCTGACGTGGTATCACTTTTTCCATCAAAGGACAAAATTGGATAGCTCCAATTTCCACTGTATACAGATAGTCCCCTCGTTTCTTAGAGTAAAATGAGAAGAAACAACTTGAGCCTCGATTTTCTAGAGACCCCGATAATGATGTCATCCCCGTGATATAAGCGGTCAAGGTAACTGAAATGTCACGTGGGTACAGTTCCCCAAATCATTAATGACTGTCAGTGGGCCATCGAACAGTCGCCGTGAATCTATAAATACATGTTCTTTATTTGAATCAAAACTTTACCTCCATCTTCACCAAATTTTTCTAAGTCTTTTCCTCTCTCCATCTCTTCTCTTTCACCATCCATTGAGTCAATTTCGTTAGTACCAAAACTGAATTTTGCCTATTTCTGCTTCATCTCATCTGAATCAATGGCGAAAACCTCCAAAACCGTCCCACAAAAGGAGAAAGCTTCTTCTTTTTCTTCCCGATCAGCCGGTGACAAAACGCCGGTGGAACCGCTCCCTCACGAGTATGTTCCCGGACCTTGTGTTTTAAAAAATGACTTCAAAGTCGAGAACCCTCCGTCGATCCATGGCTGATGTTAACACGTATCGAGGTATATTTGCTCGATAACGGTGAAACAACTCGAGGCTATGAAGAAAGACTGCAACTGGGGGGGGCGAGGTCGTGGTACAAATCTCTGCTCCCAAAGAAAGTATCACCACTCACATGGAGGGGTTTCTATATATTTACACTTACCCCTTCACATTGGGTCCTCTTGACCCAGTTATCATCGATTTTTGCAAGATGTACCAGGTTACCCTTGGCCATGTTCATCCCTCGTTCTGGCGCATAGTGATCATGCTCCGCTTCTTCTCTAGCAAGGCCAAGGGGTTGGAATTCACTCTAAGCCACCTTATACGGTTGTATCAACCTAGACTTTTTCAAGGATTAATCAAGCTCCAATGCCAATCAATGAAGTCCTTTTTGCGAGCATCGATAAGGACAAGAATCGGGGTTGGATGAGCCGGTTCGTGTGGGTAAGGACATGTGACCTCATTTCCATAGGAGAAACTGTCATTCCCCGAGAAGTGGAACCCTGATCGTAAGTAACGTATTACCCACTAATCTTCATACTCTATTTTTTGCTTTATGTAATATTTTCATCTGTTATGAAGTGGTTGCCTGGATGCCTCATGTGATCCCCGACCTCGAAGACTGGGTTGGAAGCTGGCTGCGACTTCCTTCCATGCCGAGCACTGCTGGCATGACTTGGCAAGGGGCAGATGGGAGGCTAAGAATCATGGTAAGTTTATTTTGTAAGCTTTTGGTGCCCTTTTCCTGTAACGTTTTCTTTTTACTTATACTCGACTCCATGTTATGTCAGCCTCGGGGATGTTGCTGAAATGAGGTCGGCCCTGCCTGGGGAAGAGGTGGATCCAAATCGGCCAAGGACAAGAAAAAGAAAAGGGCCTCACCTTCTGATACCCCAAGAGCTCGTAAGCCGAAGGACGACTCCGCTGCTCTACTTGCTGACGTAGCCCAAAGGCTACAAGATGAAGAAGAGGAGGAGGAAGATACTGGTTATGAGTTGGTGCCTCGAAAGAGGGGGAGCGTCAAAGTTTCAACAGCGGCTGGGCCGGTGATGGCCAAGGAGACTCGCCCTCGGACCGAGGAGATCTTAGAATGTGCTCCGAGCAAAGTCCCCGAGTCATCGGGGGTCGAAGATATCTCCTGTCATGACGGACAACTGGCAGGTATGCCCGTAGGGTCCGGTTCTAGGGCTCTTCCAAAAGGAGAGAGTGCCCCAAGTGACTCGCTTGGGGCAATCAATATTGATGATTCGCCACCCGACCCTGAATTCTCTGAAGGGCAGTTTCGGGGAGGCTCGATCCATGGATACCCCCAATGTGAGAACTGCCCACGATGGGGAAGACATATTCTATGTCTACTTTGCGAGGGTCTATGATGTTTCCGACCTAGATGCGGAGATCATTTTTTATGAAGCCCATCATCTCCTGAACCAGGCAAATTTCTCCCATGTTATCATGTTTGCTTTTATTTCCTTCTATCTGATTTCTTTCCTTTCTCCATAGGTTGTGACGCTTCATCGGGAAACGTTCACCAAATCCCAAGCTGAGCTGAACCGATGTGAGGCCGATCTCAAAAGGCTTACTGAGGAGAGAGACGCCCTCAAATGCCTCTATGTGAAGAAAGAAGAGGAGAACAGGGACCTTCGAACAGACTTGGCCCAGCCTCGTAAGGAAGAGGCCGAGCTGGACGAGCAGGTAAATATCTTATTGAAAGAGTACAGTCTCGACTCAACTATGGAAGCAAATATTTTAATATCTTAGTTGTAGCAAAATCTAGAAAGGATCGAGCTGCTCCGAGGGGAAGTCGATCAAATCAAAGTTGACTGTGATCGGTGGAAGGAGAACATGGACCGCCTTGTTGCGGAGAAAGAGGCTGCCTTGGCCAAACTGTCATCGGTCGAGGTCCAACTTCAGGGCATTAAAGAGAAAAGTTCTGCCCAGGCCAAAAGGATCGTGGAGCTCGAAGCCGAGCTTGCTAAGGCCAAGGCAGAGGTCGGGAAGATGAAGATTGCAGCTGACAAGTCCATAGTCGTGTACTTGGCCGATGTCGAGGCTACTCAAACACAGTTAAGGGAGGCTTCTGATCGAGAGCGACAGAGCAATGACTTGGCAAAGTGCCAATCCCGGAGGGAGATCCTCGAGGAAATCCTCGCTCGAGGTTTTGACCTCTCCAAAGAGATAGCTCAAGCTAAGACACTCGAAGCTGATGCCAGGTTTCTTGTCTCCTCCGATGATGATGATGATGATGAAGGCAGCCAAGATAGGTCTGATAACAACGAGAAGCCCGAAGGAAAAGCTGCCCTTAAGAGAGAAAATAGCCCCGAGCATAGTTAGGATTTTATTTTTCCTTTTCTTTTGTAAGACCCTCGTCGGTTCCTTATACATATTTTACCCCATATATAAAAAGAAATTTTCCCTTTTGAATGCCTTCTTAATTTTTATCTATAAACATATTTTTTTTGCCTTGTAAAACTTTAGCACAATCTTATGCTTTCAATGGTGTGTTCGAGATTTTGGTCTTGGGTGGCTCCCTCGTAGTCATCATAGTCGAGTTCGAGTAAGGTCCGAACTCGAAGCATAGGCCCTTTAGGGTTTGTGTCAAATAATGGTGAGTTCCCGAGCCATATTCGAGTCAGTTTGTATTTGGGTTGGGAATAGTCGAACCCTTAGGTTCGTATGGAGTGAGAACAAGATCTCGAACTCTAAGTGTATTGGCCCTTAGGCTCTTTAGATTGAGCCGATATGGCCTATAAAATATGGCTATTATTCCCCACTTTCGGCTTAAATATTTAGTAAAATTTCCTTTATGCCTTAGCATGTATTTTTTACCCATTGGGTTTTTTGGGGGTTCGATGTTGATTGGAACCCTTCTATTTTTTGTGCCTTAGCACATTTGTGATAAGATAATTCGATACCTCTTAAGGTTTTTTGAGGGCTGATTTTATCGAAGCCCTTTTGATTATTTGCTGAGGGTAACCTTTTTTAACCAGTTTTTTCAAAGAATTCGAAGGCCTATTTTTATTGAGGGATCCGAACGTCTCTGAGCCGCGTTAGTTTAGCCGTAGCCTTTGGGTATGCCTCTTAGGCTTATTCCCCAATAGCACTTCGAACTTGTTAGAAGTGTTAGTCCCCGAGAATGATGGCCTTGGCCTATAGATCGAGGGGTGCCTCTTTAAGGTTTTACGAATTCAAGCTTAGATAACTTGAATCTGTCGATCGTCGACGACAGTCCCCGAGTGTTCGAGGCATATTTGCGCCTGGCCCTTGATCCATTTCTCATAAAATCATAAGTATGGAGCTCGTATAGTAGAAAATTTTCTTTGAGACACAAGATGTTTGATATAGAAAGAATGCTTCTTTAAATAATTTATACATGCGTACATATTTTTCCATCAGAGCTTGACTAATATATATGGACAGAGTTCATTCGACCGTTTGGCCCATTACAAAGTTTCCCTATCGAGACCTTTTGACATGAAGTACTTTCCTCGAAAATATAACATTCGAGGGTGATGTCTCCCCAGTATTCGAGGTTGATTGTAAAAAAGCCTTGGATACTGTTGAGTTTTCCTCAGGTAGCACATAATTGTTGCCTCGTTAAAAACCTCGCCGGAAAAATCCATTTGGGATAAAAACCGATCTAAGGAAAAAAGAGTGCAACGCGTGCTTTAAAACCTAAGGTTCTCATGTTGAAGAGTTTCTCGACATCTTCGATCGAACACCTACAATAAGTTAGTATCAAATACAAATGGAAAGGGGGAAAGCCATACCTCAGCAATAATAACGTTTTAGGAGTGATATATTCCAATTGTTTGGCAATTGTTCACCCTCCATTGTTCCAAGTTTGTAAGATCCCTTTCCGATGACACCGAAGACCCGATATGGTCTTTCACAATTTAGGCCTAGTTTCCCTTCATTTGGGTCTAGAGTGTTAAGGGTGACTTTCCCCAGAACCAAGTCCTCGATTCCGAAGTGGCGGAGGTTGGTTCTTCTATTATAATATCTCTCGATTCTTTGCTTTTGCGCAACCATCCGAACTAGCGCAGCTTCTCATTTTTTAACCAATAGCTCTAGGCTAGTATTCATAGCCTTGTGATTTGATTCTTTCATTATATGTTGAAATCTGGTGCTAGGTTCCCCCACTTCGACCGCAATCAAGGCCTCAGAGCCATATACTAAGGAGAATGGGGTCTCTCCCGTACTGGACTTTGATGTTGTTCGTATTCCCAAAGGACTTCGGGTAACATTTCTCTCCACTTCCCCTTGGCGTCATTCAACCTTTTCTTTAAGTTTAGAATGATAGTCTTGTTCGTTGATCCGACATGTCCGCTCCCACTAGGATGATACGACGTTGTTAATATCCTTTTTATTTTGTGATCCTCGATGAATTTCGTTACCTTGTTGCCGATAAATTGTTTTTCATTGTCACACACTATTTCGGCGGGTATCCCAAATCGGCATACAATGTGATCCCAGATGAAGTCTATAACCTCTTTCTCTCTCACTTTCTCGAATGCCTGTGCTTCAACCCATTTAGAGAAAAAGTCAGTCATAAATAAAATGAACTTAACTTTACCTGGGGTCGTTGGCAGAGGGCCGACGATATCCATCCCCCATTTTATGGATGGCCATGGGGATAGGACTGAATAAAGTTGTTCTCCGGGCTGATGGACCATCGGTGCAAACCTTTGACATTTATCACATTTTTTAACAAACTCCTTAGTGTCTTTTTCCATGCTATCCCAGTAGTATTCTGTTATAATGATTTTGCGAATCATTGGGCTGGAGTGGTTCCCACAAGTGCCTTCATGGACCTCCTATAAAACATAATCGGTGTCTCCTGGTCCTAAACGCACTGCCAATGGTCCATAGAATGTCCTTCTGTATAATGTTCCATCTTCATCCAATGTGAACCGAGCAGCTTTGGTTCGTAGGGCCCTCGATTCTTTAGTGTCCGATGGGAGCTTTTTGTTCTTCAAGTATTTAATATACTTATTCCTCCAATCCTAGGTTAAGCTTGTAGAGTTTATCTCGGCATGACCTTCTTCGATCACAGATCTCGAGAGTTGAACGACAATCCCCGAGTTGATTTTTTCTTCCTCGACCGATGACAACAGATTTGCAAGTGTATCGGTCTCACTGTTTTGTTCTCGAGGTACTTGCTGTAAAGTCCATCCTTTGAAACGGTGCAAAGTTACCTGCAGCTTGTCCAAATACCTTTTACATTCTATCTTCTCGAACTTCGAAGGTTTTGTTTACTTGGTTTACCACTAGTAAAGAGTCACACTTGGCTTTAATGACTTCTGCTCCTAAGCTTTTAGCTAGCTCGAGACCTACAATCGTTGCCTCGTACTCGGCCTCATTGTTAGTCAACCTAGACGTCTTGATAGATTGCCTAATAGTGCTACCCGTAGGCAGCTTCAAAATAATGCCTAGCCCGGATCCCTTCACATTCAAAGCACCATCTTTGAAAAGGGTCTATACCCCCAATGATGTGCCTGATTTTAACAAAAGTTCTTTTTCAACTTCATGTACGAGGGTTGGCGTGAAATCAGCCACGAAGTCCGCCAAAATTTGAGACTTAATGACCGTTCAGGGTTGATACTCGATATCGTGCCCACTGAGTTCGATGGCCCATTTGGCCAATCGGACCGATTGTGCAAAATATTACGAAGCGGGTAAGTGGTTAACACACATATGGGGTGACATTGAAAGTATGGTTTTAACTTTCTAGAGGCGCTTATCAATGAAAGTGCCAATTTCTCTAAGTGTGGCTATCTAGTTTCTGCTTCTCCTATGGTTCGACTTACATAATAAATAGGGAATTGCGTACCCTGCCCTTCTTGAACTAGGACACCACTTACCGTGATTTCCGATACTGCCAAGTATAAGTAAAGTTTCTCATTTGCCTTTGAAGTGTGAAGCACTGGTGGGATCGATAGGTATCGCTTTAGTTCCTCTAATGCTTGTTGGAATTCCGGGGTCCAGGTGAAATCGTTCTTCTTTTTGAGTAGAGAGAAAATTTTGTGGCTTCTATCCGACGACCTCGAGATGAATCGGCCTAATGCTTCTATCCGTCCAGTCATCCTCTTCACGGCTTTTACACTACCTACGATGGTGATGTCCTCAATGGCCTTGATTTTATCGGGGTTGATATCGATCCCCTGATTCGATCCCATGAAGACTAGGAATTTGCCCGAATCGACCTCGAAAGCACATTTTTCGGGGTTGAGCTTCATGTTATATTTCCTCAAAATCTTGAACGTTTCCTGCAAATGAGATAAATGGTCCTCTCCGCGCAAGGACTTAACTAGCAGGTCATCGATATAAACTTCCATTGACTTACCTATTTGTTCTTCGAACATTTTATTTACTAAGCGTTGGTAAGTAGCTCCTGCGTTTTTTAGCCTGAAGGGCATTACTTTATAATAATATGTTCCATACTTGGTGATAAATGAAGTATTTTCCTGGTCTTTCGGGTTCATTTAAATTTGATTGTACACGGAATAGGCATCGATAAAGGTAAGGATCTCGTGGCCAGTCATGGCTTCGATCATGCGATCGATATTAGGTAGTGGAAAAGAATCTTTGGGCAAGCTTTATTTAAATCTTTATAATCTACACACATTTTAAGTTTGTTTCATTTTTTAGGGATTACGACTACATTGGCTAGCCATTCGGGATATTTCACCTCCCGAATGGACCCTATTTTGAGAATTTAGTTACCCCGTCCTTTATGAATGTATGCTTTACCTCGTACTGAGGCCTTCTCTTTTGTTTAACCGTTTTGAACCTGGGGTCAAGGCTTAGCCGATGTGTTGTTATCTCTGGTGGGATCCATGTCATGTCTAAATGGGACCAAGCAAAACAAGTTATGTCATCAATAAGAAATTGAATAAGCTTTTTTCTGAGTTTGGGGGTTAATCCCGTTCCTAGGTATACCTTTCGCTCGGGTAGGTACTCGATCAATATAACATGTTCCAGCTCTTCGGCCGTTGATTTGGTGGCGTCAAAATCTTCGGGAACAATAAAAGTTTGAGGATTTAGAAAATCCTCTTCTTCTTCTTCTATCCTCTACTTCTCCGATTCGGCCGAGACTGGTGGTTGTGATTTCTATTTGGCTTCTAGTTTACCTTTAATGCTCGACCTTTCCGAGGTTGATAGCTTTGATATCGGCGTTACCTCATCGATCACAAACATTTCCAAAGCAGCATACTGCTCTCCGTATACTGTTTTTACACCGTCCGACGTCGGGAATTTTATCATTTGATGGAGAGTCGAGGGGACTGCCCTCATGTTGTGGATCAAGGCCTTTCGAGTAGGGCATTGTACCT